AAATTCATAAAATAGTAGTTCAATAAAATTTTCAATGTAACTCAACAAATGTGATGACATGGCCTTTGACCTGTGATGATAGGGTTAATAGACATCTTCAGTGGTACTAAACTTAACCAGTGGGGAAAAAATGCAAACTGAGAACTAGGTACATGGCGTGTACCTGCATGTATCCCCATTTCCATGACTGGTTTGCATAGATGAGATAATTTACAAAGAAGAATGAATTTTTTTTTATGGATGTTTATAGTCAATTTCATAAATAAACTAGACTCCTCACACATTTCACCTTTCTGAGATGACACCAGGTGAAACTAATAAAGAAAGAACTACTGCGGCTTCTGTTATTTTTAGTATTTTTGAAAAGTTAAGTGAACAAGTAAAGAAAATCCTGTTCCAAAAAATATGTTGCTAAAATGTATTAATTTGTTTAGAACTGACAGAGTTGGCAGTGTTTAAAGCAGGTTTTAGTTATTAAGTGATACTCATGATATAACATGTTTTCACTGAAAACATAATATATTTATCTCAGGGCATAGAAATTTATTTATTTTAACAAAATTTTTTTTTATTAAAATATATAATTGATTTTTCCACATTAATTGTGCCTTTCTCTTTTATATTTATGAGACTTTTCAGTTTTCTAGTTTCACTAAACTGTAAATTTTACTTTTGGACATTTTAGCATTTGAAATGCTTCATTTAAACAAGGAAAAAAGTTATTTTAAAACTGTTCTGTAATACTTTTCTATACTTTATGTTCTCTCATCAGGCCATCGTATCCGCACAGTCCATGCTTTTGGTATGGTAGTTTTAGAAATCCTAGGTGTCATTGCTGAGGATACAGGAAGGTACACTTGTCGAGCAACCAACAAGTGGGGAAAAGCTGAAATCACTGTTGTCTTGGAGACTGTTGATCGTTCTCGGGGACAGAAACCTCATTTTACCACCCAGTTACAGAGTATTATGGGATTGAAAGAAGGTGACAGTGCACACTTTGAATGTACTCTAGTACCAGTTGGTGATTCTGCCATGAAAATAGAATGGTTTCACAATGGGCAACCCCTCAGAGACAGTAAGTGTTAGTTTTTTGGTAATCTAATTTCTATTCGATGTTGTATAAGCATTTATGTGACATGTTTTTTAATTTTGTGTTATAAGCATTGATCTAGGGTAGTGATTTCTCCTTTAATCTAGTGATTAATATGCAAATTCTGCCAAAAGACTTATGAAAAAAGAACAATTTTGGATCTAGTTTAACGTTTTATGTTAGAATAGGCTGCATAAAATTGGCTAGAAATGATTAGGTAAAAATTTTCAAAAATGCATCCAATGAATAAAAATGTTAATAGATACTGAAATAAAAAATACCATCTATATTTTTTCTGGATTATTTTTTCATTTCTAGAAGCTATCATTTAAAAAGATAATAATTCATGTTTTTTTCAATGTAACATAAGTTAAAGGACAAAGTGCTCACTTTGAAGCACAACAATCCTCTATCATTTTTTCACTGTTACTGATTGTTTAATATTGAATTTTTGTATTTGTTATTTTTTTCGCATGTTACCATCTTATTAGTTTTTATTTTGTAAAATAAAGTTCTCATTTTGTTTGCTTAATTCTTTCATGTTTGTAAAGTAATATAACACAATCAAGTTTATTTTTTTGTTAGGTTCCCGTATCAAGACCATTAGTGACTTTGGTTATGTGGTGATGGATATTTCATTTGTCCATGTTGAAGATGCAGGGGAGTACATCTGTGTAGCCACTAATAAGTATGGCTCTGACACCACTCGGTGCTTCCTTGAATGTGCTGGTAAGAATGGTTGAAATTATGGCTATAAAAGAGAGTTGCCTCTATTGAATAGCTTAAAGTTTTATTATCACAAATCAATTAACACAGCTCCCTCTCGTTTTATAGTTAATAACTGAAAGAAAATTATTTCTGCTTTGATAAAAATTACACCTCTATTCTAACTATCATGTTATTTTGCAGTTTTATTTAGTGAAATTAAAATTTTCTTTTTTCAGTAAGGTTACTTCGACTGTTTTAAGTAATTAATTAAGTGTAAAATTTTTCTTCTGTTGAAAAGAAAAATGTTTAATGCATATGTATTAATATTCTTCAGGTCATGGCAAAATTTTCAGAGATTCCTTACAACCACAGAGCTTAGAGAAGATTGCAGCATTGGAAGGTTACTCTCGTTATCAGACAACTGTGCTAAAGGAGCCATTGATTAACGAACCTCCCAAGTTCCATAGTCAGATTCAACCTTTAGTCAACTTAGTTGAAGGACAAAGTGCTCACTTTGAAGCACAACTGACTCCATTAAATGACCCCAACTTAAAGGTTGAGTGGTTCTTCAATGGTCAGCCTCTTAGGCATGGTAGGTTGTTTCTTAAAATCATTATAGAAAAAATTGCATTTTGAATTATGTGTTACTTATTCATTTATGATATATATATTCCTCTTCTTCATAAACAAAAACCAAAATCAAACAAAGCTATACCTAGAGTTAAGAACTAATCATGAAGATAAAAAAACTGACAATTGATACCAATATGTAATTATTTGAAATTTACTTGACAAAAACCTGCTCTTCAGTAGAAAACACTTGTCAATCAGGCCCAGTAATTATATATATATATCCAATTTTTTTTCAGGCCACCGCTTCAGAACTTTCCATGATTTTGGAATTGTCATTTTGGACATTCTTTACTGCTATGGTGAAGACAGTGGAGAGTATATGTGTAGAGCAACAAACCGTTTAGGCACTGATGTCACTAAAACAATGCTCAAGTGTAGATGTAAGTCCTTATACCTGCTTTATATTTAGACACAAGTGGTATCATATTTATATGGTACAGATATTGAACAGTGAGGTATTTGAATGTAGAAACTTTTGTAGGTTTATTTCATGAAAAGTATACACAGAGGTTGAATATGTTATATTAAAATTATTTTGGAGCCTCACCACCTTATAGTTCATGCTGCCACATCCATTTATGCTCTATCTGATGGCCTTGCATCTTGACAAAGCCCTAAGTGCAGTTTCCATTGCAAAAGGCTCTGTCGTAAAGCTATCATGACCAAAACACACCACTCCTCACTGCAGACTTTCCATAATTTATCTAGTGTGTGAAGGCATGGTTTTTCCAATACCCATTTCAACAGTTTGATTGCACAGAAATCCATAGGTGCTGCTTCCAGTTACTTGATAGGTTTCTGTATAGAATAGGATGAATACCTGTTTCATTCTATAGCTGCTTGAGTTATGAGATGGTTGAATGAGAGGTGTGGTTTGAAGCCTATCCTTAGTGAAATCATATCCTACTAGCTTTGTTTCCTCATGAAAATCCTTCTTGATTATGTTGTGTATTGTGGTTTGGGACACATGGATGGCATTTGCTACTGACCTTTGTATTTGTGGATTCTCACCTATTACAAGATGCCCCATGTTTGGGGTTATGACTTATTGTAGGTTTCTTTCTGGATGATCCTGGTTCCTCAAGCTGATACATTTTCTTTTGTTTTCCAATGCTATAAAATACAAAACATATCCCCTTCTTGGAAGTTCTAAATCTTTGATCAGAAAACAACCTTATGATCTGGGTGCATGAATATTTTGTATTGGAAAGGGGTGTAACATACCCTTTCCAAATATGATAAATACTTGGTGGTATTACACTGTGTACAAAATGCCAAACAATGTCAAAATGTAGTTCTGATACATTCCATTCCACTGTGATTTTATATTGGCTACAGTTGTCAAATAACTTGCTAATTTGAATATACAAAATTGTTTTAAGATAACATACTCAGCCCTTTGTTTATATTAATAATTCAAGCTAAATATTGTTTTGAAAATATAGCAATCTTAATCTATTGTGTGAAAACTTCCTGTTATTTCCACATTTTTATTACAGCTAAAAGTTCTTTGATCCTGGAACCACAGCTGCCTCCAGAAATGTCTGGTGGTACTGAAAGAATTATTGAACTTGAAGAAGCTTTGCATCGTTCTCGAATGGAAATATCAGAAGAAGTTGTTCGGGAAGCTCCTCGATTTACAAAACCATTGGATAACCTGACAAACATACGAGAAGGAGAGAATGCTCACTTTGATGCTCGACTCACACCAACTGATGATTCTGATCTTACCCTGGATTGGTTTAAAGATGGAAAACCACTTCGTGCAGGTAAATTATATGGTGTGATTATGTATATCTTTGAACTTGCCACAGTTTTGTTTGAGTTTCTTAATTAAATGTATTTTTTATTGAAGAGTATTTGATGATCACAAGAACTGTTGTACTTGTGTTAAAGTCTTCGATGGAATATCAGAAACCTTTTAAATAAGAAAGTAATAATGAACCCTATAGCTTTACGTTTCATAATATTTCATTGATTAGCTAATAACAATTATGTCTTGTTCTTGATATTCTGATCTTAAGTTAATGATGAAAACTTGTATCTTTAATTTATAAATTGAAAATTAATCAATTGTAATATTTTATTTTTCAAAAAGGGACTCGGATACGCACCATTCATGATTTTGGCTTTGTAGTTCTTGAAATAAGCCCAGTGTATCCAGAAGACAGTGGTATTTACTCCTGTCGTGCTATCAACAGGCTTGGTGAAGCAGTCACCACATGTACTATGAAATGTGAAGGTAACGCATGTTTATATATGGCATTTCTCGATATACACCCTCAGATATAGGTTCTTGTTTGTATCATATACTTATCTATATTCAGATAGTTAAAATGTATTGGAATTAATTTTTATACCCTATACATATGGTGTCAAAATAATATGTTGTTGTTTTCTTGATTCAAAACTACACAATGGGCAATCTGTGGATAACAGAATCCTAGATTTTAGTGTTGTAAATCTGTTAAATTATTACTGACCTATTGGGGGGGATACAAAAATAATATCCTTTTTTTTTGTTCTGTTGCAAATTACAGAGTAATTCTACTTTACCTTATGGTTATAACAGTATTTGCTGAAAGTTTGATAACCTGAAGGTAATATTTTCTGTATTTTGCTTTTTATATTGCAGCCATTCTCAAAATTCATAAGGCACCATATAGGTGAAAAGTCTAAAATATACAAACTTTTACTTAGTGTCTCAAAAACATATTTTGCTGTTGTATATTTGTGTAATTTTTTAAATTCATATTAGAATAGAATTTTTACTATTTCCCTTTTGCTAATTTTGTTGTAAAAATACTGCCAACCTGAAGAGTTTCAAAACAATGAACTTTTTCTGTTGTTTTATAGGGAAACGAGGCATAATACTGGAAACTCAGTTGCCAGAAGGTATGGAAACCGGTATGGAAAAAATGGCTAGGTTTGAAGATATATCAAGTAGCCGTGTAACAGAAACATGGATGGATATTGATGTTGCACAAGCTCCTAAGTTCACTACCAAACCCCAGGACATTTCCCTCCCTGAAAACTCTCTGGCTCACTTTGAATGTCGGTTAACACCAGTTGGAGACCCAACTATGAAAGTTGAATGGTTCCACAATGGAAAACCACTTATCACAGGTATTGTGGCATTGGATTTGAAGATGACAAATTCTTGTACACCTTTTTTTAGTGAAATAGAAATTATAATACATTCATCAAACTTAAGAATTTCACTGAATTCTTTTTTAATTTAGAAATTGCCCTTTCAGTTTGAAACTATTACTAGAATTAGCAATTATAGAATTCATGATTAATCGGCAAGCTTCCACAAATATATATATTTTGTGATTACAAAAGTAAGGTGTTTTATGATGTTTTAAATGTGCTTGTAAATTAAATAGATTTTTTATCTTTCATTTTGTAAACACTGAATAATCAAGTGACATGAATTAATGTATGTTCTCTCATTGATAATATAATGTTTTTTTTTTAACTTTCAAGGAACAAGAATCAGAACAATCAGTGACTTTGGCTTTGTGATCTTGGAAATTGCTGGTGTCTACCAACGAGATATTGGAGTATATACGTGTAAAGCTATGAACAGAGTTGGAGAAGCTACTGTTTCAGCATCCTTAAATGTAAAAAGTGCGTATTCAGTCTGTTTATAAACAAAGCAAAAGCTAGAAGATTTAATGCATCATTAAAATTAGTAGTAAATAAGACTGAGATTTTGTTATGTATTTTAAGTGGTGTTGCAGTATAATATTTTGCATCTTTATTGTAATGTAAAGTATAAATTTGTGTAATTCTCCTTTATTTAGTTATGCTGTTATATTCTCAATTTTTGTTTGATATATAGCTATGATATGAGAGTTAAATATAAGTACATTTAATGAAGAAAAGATGCAATTTTTTACTGCATTTGGTTCAATCTTCAGGCAAAGCCTCTATTATTCTGGAACCACAACTTCCTGAAGACTTCCGATCTGGAACAGCAACCTTGCAGCGTCTGGAAGAAGCTCTTTATCAAACAAGAGAGGCTGTCATACCTGAAGAAAAGCTACAACCTCCTCGATTCGTTACACACATCCGAGATGTACCAAACAAGGCTGAAGGAGACTCAGCTCACTTTGAGTGTAGGCTAGAGCCACAAGGAGACCCAACACTCACAGTTGAATGGTATCACAATGGAAAGCCACTTATAACAGGTATAGCCCATACTTAGACTGTATTGTTTCGTCAAACATAACACACACTTGAAGTATTTGTTGTTTTCTTTGTTAATAGTAAGGTTAACATGAATAAATTAATCTTTTTATTTAGTGTCTAATAGAATTAAGTCTTGTAGTTGTGTTCATTTCTAAACATGATTATTCATGATCAATATCAACAGTTGATACATGTAATACTGAAAATGAACCAGTATCGATAAAGTTGCCACATTATGATATAATGAAAAACAGGTTGTAATATTTTATAGTGGGTCTATTAAAACATCTCAAGGGTTCCTATCATGTATTGAGACATGATAGTAACCAAGTAAAAAAGTTTGTTTATAGTTAAGCACAAAGCTACACAATGGGCTATCTGTGCTCTGCTCACCATGGGTATCGAAACCCGGTTCATAGCACTATAAGTCTGCAGATATACTGCTGTGCCACTGAAGGGCAAGTCAAAAAGAAAAATCTAACTTAATTAGAATGTTTCTTATTTATGATGTAATTTTATTACCTATAAGATGGTTAATTAGACAATTCAGAAATATCATGTAATATTCATTTTCATTGATCCAAACGAATTCCTTGTTTTGGTTAATTTGTATTTTGTCCAAATGTTTTACATTTTCTTGTTTAGTACAGTGTTTTTTTTAAAAAGAA